CAGGCCAGGCCCCCGGCACTCTATCTGGACCTGGGACAGCTGGCCTTGGAAGGCATTGCAAATCACTGCCCTTCTCTGAATGCAAACTGATAGTCTGCAGGTATGGACGCTTTGATCCCGGGCGATAACACGGTGACAGTAAAACGAGAAACCGGTAAAACTTTGCAACACGCATGCGATTTGTGGGATTGATATGAAACGAATGGTAATCAATGGCTGGGCAAATACGAAAAATGATACTCTAAAACAAGACCCTGTTTCTGAAGAGTAATTCATGATCCCATTGTCACCCCAAAACTTTATTTCTGATCTCAAAAAGGGCCTGCGTACAAAATCAATCCTCCTCAATTTCGGCTGTTGAAGCTTGGCTACGGGACAAACCCACTATCCGCTGCGACGTGGACACCTCATCCCGCTGCCCTTGCGCTACTGTAAATAGTCACGTTCACTAGGTAAATAATCTGGTGCTGCGTGATGCCTCAGTTCATGATGCACGGGCATACCGACAGGGGCAACCAGGGAGACAATGAGGGAGCCAAAAAGAATTTGGACCGTAACAGAGTGAGTCTGTGAGGCTGTTGCCGACGTTTTACGGCATCTAAAGTCAAGACTTGGCTATTCTGTGCCTCACGAGTATCACGGCCTCGATCTAGATCATGCATCAACGTCTTTGGACTGTCGAGTTCAGCTAATGTTGTCGATTTTGCTGTGCGTAGACTCGATCAAAGAGAGGCACAGCCACGACGCTCTTCCGTGTTGCCATGCATTGCATTGCGTTGGATGCACACGACAGAGACGAGACAGCTTGACAGGGATCGCTTTCCATCTGGATGTGATGTCAGATGCATCCATCAACACCACAATCATTGAACCATCGAGTTAGTGAGCACAAACACACTCAGTCAAAAGTCAATGAATCAAGCCCAGTGACGATCCGGATCGGAATGTTAATCGTCCCCCCTGTTAGGACTTGGGAGTATCTGCCAAGACAGGAAATCTCCGCTACCTTTTGAGACTCATTCATTCTCATTCCCGTGGCGCTACCATTTCAATTCATCACAGCCCAACTGACTCCCTCACTTCGGAGCGTTCAGTCCCGTCCTCGACGCCAATGACATCAACTACATTAGCTTCGTTTTTTTCTCCCCGATCTCCAAATTAACTCACGTCTCCCCATAACGGTAGCTTCATGACGACCTGACTTACAGTGCACTCGCTATATCTGTTGTCATAATTACCTTGTGAGCTCCATTGGTTTGTTTACTTGGCTATCTCTCTTGATCATCGCGCTACTGCTCATCGAGCAAGAGACGCTCCATTCATCGCCCCTGTCTTGATCATTAGACCATCCTTTGTTCCTTTAGTCTCTCAAGGTTGATGCCCATCGGTGTCTCAATCTCGTCAACGACATCATGACTTTCTCACCGATTGGCGATTGAGATCCAGCAGTCGTCTCTTCAAACAGTTCTCGAGATCTGAACGAAAATGCTACGAGTGCAACTTCATCTACGTACCCCAGTCAGTCATTCATTCCAAAAGGCTAGACTCTCCACAAAATGCATGCACCATTCTTCATCTGGCCCTAGCGCAGTCAATATGATGCTCGTTCAGCTGAAATGGTCTGCTCTGGTGTCAACCTCACTCTCAAACTGGCACGGACTGGGCCGAGGTACGTGCCTGTAATTTTACCTTGGACGCATCAACCTTCAAGATGTCGCCATTCGACCAATAAGATCTCCTCTGATGTGAATTTATTGAATTCCCACATGTCTCCCTCAAATTTGGCTTTGCCTTGCTTGCAGCGTGGCCATGCCGTTACCGCAGACGTCGCCTAACAAAGCATGTTGCGGCTTCACAAATTGGGCCTTCCAGGGCTGCATCACCATTACGGACTGCTCCAGAACGTTGTTCCCGTCTGTAACTCGTTGTGAAAGTCAAGACGAGGCCTCTTGATTGTACAGCCCTTTGTTCAACTCAGGCACAGTCACGTGTGTATTACCGTACAACCATCGGCTACGATCCCTTGGTTGTCCTTTGAATCTGAGTGTCGGCATTTGTGTTTCACCTTGTGGCTGTTTGCTTAAACATTCCTGATCAACTCGGCGGAGGTTGCCTCAGTTGTTGCTGTGTACATGTGAAGTATTATCGTAGAGTAGGTAATGACCTGTTGTTGATCGAGACCTGGAATCTGGGCTTGTCACACCGAGAATGGCTTCAATCCAAGTTGCCCTTGATGAAGCGTACATTCCCCTGGCGAAGAATCAGAAATGCAGCTGCTTGACCCTGCATAAAGAGGCGAGCTCCTAGTGCACGCAAAGCTGTGATGCCTTCTGCGTACAACAGTGAATAGATGTTTGTGTGAGAGGGGGCAAACTCTTTTCTGTTGTACCAACTTGGAACGCAAGCCGAGATGCCAGGTTGCTCTTTGAAGAAAATTCTACCAAAATGACAAATTCGCGAATCGATACCCCCTACTAGACATGGAAACACGGGTTCGCGCTTATTCATACCGATTGTGGCTCACTAACAAGAGCAGCTCGATTCATGTCAAACTTGAGGGACGAGTAGCTTGTACTACTGCGATATATATTCCTGGTGAAATTGTGATGATATAGCAATATTGTCTTTCATGACATAAGCCCAACAGGCAGAGGGTACTCGACCGTTGATGAAAGTTTGTGAACAATACTGGAGCTGAATTCCCAAGACCTTCGCAGCTCGATTGTCAATGGCTAAACGCATCCAATTCTCGGGGATTCCGGTTGCCATTCACCATAAAGACAAAGAAAGGAAACGATTTGACCGTTTTTGATTCTCTTGATTGCTCAAACAATGTCTATGCGCCCACCATGATGATGGCGAGCTGCACTTACAACAAAGAACTAGTTCCTTTGTTCTTTGAATAGCATCACATTAATCACCCGCCCCTACAGGCGCCAGCATTGTGACAGACTACTAGAAAGATCTCTTTATGTCTGTTTAAGAATATATAGATAATTCTCCTTTTCAAAGAAAATTCCTTTCGTTCTGATCTCTGTTCTGTCAACCTGTGACTCCCTTCTCAATTCTGTGCCAACATCGATATTCCAGTCACAATGGTATCTTTACGAGCAGCCGGGAAGCAGAAAGAGGGCACACAGCCTCTTCATGTCCCTTCCAACGCATACGCAGCCTCCTACAGATCCAACTGGTTCACCCCAGACAATGGCATCTTAGACCCCCAAGACCTTGAGCTTCTACAGCACATCAACTGCTCCTATTTCTCATCCGGCCGTCCTCCCACTCTTCTCGCCCTCAAGCAGCATGCCCAATCTCTCACCAACATCATTCGAAAGCTTGCTCCGTCTACTACCACTCGTCCTGTAGGCACAGGGGATGTAGATTCTAAGAGTTGGACTTTTCAGAAGAACGAGGCTTTTGACTGGTTGAATGATCTCAATACGCCTTATGAGAATGATGATCCGTCTCATCATGATCCTCTTTTTGCTCTGCATAATCTTGTCAAGTCAGAGTCTGAAGTGTATGGGATCGAACATCATTGTCCTTTGACGCAAGTTGAGGATTTTGGTCCTTCGGCTAAGCAGGGAGATATTCGTCGTCCTTACATGACACACCACGATCTCATCATGCATGCGAATGAGTGTCTTGAAATCATCGATCATGAGTACTCCTCTACTGGCGGTCTGATGTCGATTCTCCCAACTGGTTTCGAAGATCCCAAGGATGAGAAAAAGAACCATCCTTTGACAGAATCGCAACTTGAAGCTGCTCGCAACTGTCTTCTTGGTCAATGGATTCTTCATCACCAGCATCTTGTCGGTCGTATCCATGAACTCGAAATCAACTACGCTAACGCTACCGATGCCCTTAAAGGAGAAGCCCTCGTCCCACAGCAGATGTTGGGCCACGCCGGTGCTGATGGCGTCTCAGGGGGCCGCGAGATTGTCTATCCACAGGATAAGTACATCCTCGTGAACTGTGGCGAAGATATCAGAAACTACATCCATCGACTCATCGATGTTGCTGAAGCACAGATCGAGCAGAAAGAGAAGATCTGGAAGGCAAGTGGTGTAGTCGGTGAACGCATATGGAACGAAGAACGTGGCGGCAAAGTCTACGCCAAAGGCATTGTCCCTATAGATCTTCTAACTCGCTTCTACCGCATCAAAGGCAAGGGCCATCAGTCTCCTCTATTTGTCATACCAGCAGCCGAGCAGCATCCTGGCGTGAAGAACACACGACTAATGGAGGAGAGACCTACTGTAGTATCCATCGTGACTCCAACTTGGCCAGAGCGTGTGTCTGCCATTGAGGCAAAGAACAAAGAGCGTCTGGAGAGAGCGGATAAGTTGGTTGCCGAGAATCAGTTCCTGGCTCGTAAGATGGCGGAGATGAAGGATATTTTGGCTGTTCAGAATTCAGAGATCAAGCGTATGACTGATCAGTTGACTTGGTATGAACAACAAGCGAATGTTGAAAGAGAAGGATCGCAGGATTGAGGAAATGGTTTTCTTTATTGCCAATTGACGTTAGAGTTCCGTCTTGGAGTTTGACGGATAAGAACCTGGCCAGATGGGGGAAACCCAGTCTTGGATATGGCCAATTTGTCAGCATGGTATTGTGTATAGCCATACCTTTATTCCTTTCGTTGGTAGATTCGCTCCCGTGAGCATTGTGATAAGGAAGAACCATAACCAACATATTGAGATTGAGGCAGAGATGTGACATATTATCATTACCTAGTCTAATGCGTGATCTATGATTATTTCATCCCAAATGTGTCCCGTCCAATGCAAGCTTACATCATGATACCCAGAATGACTGGCCTTTTCTCCAGCTTGATCTATAAGTGCTATCCAAGCATGAAAGATGTTATCAAATGGTTGTTCGCGGCTTGGGAGGGAAAGGAAGCCGTTCTCCTGTACGGCAATCCAGTTTGACTGATTTAATCATATCTGCCGCCTATTTCAATTGTCAACAGCAGTTCGTTATTAATATAATCAGAGTCTCACCTTCTCAGCAATGGCATAGACACTAGCTTGCAGATGCGCTGACGGAATCAGGGGCATGATACTAGCATCAGCAATACGCAAGTTGCATGTGCCATACACCTTGAGCTCTGGGTCAACAACTCCTCCCAACTCGAGTGCCATCATGGCTGCTGTTCCTGAAGGATGTCTCTCTGTCGTGATCTTCTCCATGACTTGCTTCATCAACGACTCACGATCTGTAGTATCGAACACCGATTCCGCTTCGGGCATGAGCTCTTTCATAGCGTTGGTTTGAATCAGTTTCGTGTTCATTTGGAGACCAAGAACAATAATCTCGCAGTCGATCGTGTCGGAACAGTATCGTGGGTCCAGTTTTGGCGTATCAAAAATAGAGGAAGACGAGGGTTGGATGGTGCCTCGGGAGAAGGTCTTTTGAGCAGCGACAGCGAACTGCCCCTATGAGTTGGCCATGGTCTCAAAGATGCCTGTATCATTGCTGAGGACTTTTTGTCTGAGAATCCTCCGTTGGACTTCGTAGCCCTTCTTCACGGAGTTGGGGGCATTTGAAGGAATGCCATTACCGGAACTCTTGTTCATAAATTGTTTCCAGTCATCAGTCGCTGACTGTAGACTTGGGAACGCAACCGTGTTTATGAGAGGTGCCGTCCAAGGACCTAAATTTGTCAGAAACTGGTCCCTCTCTCAGATATTTGCGCTCACCTGTTCTGTTCCGTATGTATTCCTCGGCAACTTCATCATACACATCGTCGGTTATCTCATCACTCCTCAAATATGATTCATTGCGGCCTGAAACCATCAGTATCCGATATCTGATAGAAGCAAGGTACTCACAGTAGTAGTTAGCATAGATCATGGGATGGTCCTGAAGATTATATCCGACGTCGGGAAGGTCAATCTTGACCGGAATGTCAAGCGACTTCAGAACATCTGATGGCCCAATTCCCAATATCTGAAGTAAAGTAGGAGTGAAAATGGCACCAGCCGAAACAATAACCTCTCGAGTACAAGAAATTGATCTCGCTTTCGACTTGTTATTTGGAGCAAACTACAATATAGATTAGTAACCTCCTTGTCTTCTGTGTCACCTAATTGTACCTCGACTCCCATAACTCTCCGATTGGAGTTATATGCACTGTTACTATCCAAAACAAGTTGTGTGACAGTCTGATTGGTTGCAATGTGCAAATTGTACCTCGAAGATGCCGAGTTAAAATGAGCTTCTCTAGCATCGAACCTCGTCTGATTATCAGGGTGCATGCTTGAGGGGAGTGTCATGGCCCCTGCGGCTGTCCCATTGTTCACATCACCAATGATGGGTAGACCAAGCTCAGCCAAGCCCTCGAGAACGTTGACTGTTCTCCGGTCAGAACACAAAAAGCTTTGACGATGTACATGACTTACAGGATTGGTCATAGAAGTATTGAGGGTAGGAGACGTGCACTGAGCCATTGTATCCATGCGCAGCTGATTGAGGATGTATGTGAAGCTCCTTGACATCATGAGGCTCAACATTGAAGGTGAACTTCTCAGACTACCAAAAATCAGCCTCATTCTCAAAGATCGGTTACACACTTACCTTTTTGAAGTAAGGAAGTAGGTCATTCCAAGACCAACCCTTGTTACCCAACTTTTCCCAACCATCATAATCAGACACTGAGCCTCTGGACCAACAGAGGCCATTGAGGATGGAACTGCCACCAACAGCCTTCCCCTGCGGTATTCCCACATTCTGATTGTTGAGATAGGTCTGGGGTTCAGTGGTCAGCCCCCATTGGTATTTTTGCCATCCACCTGACCCGATGGTTCCCGGGACAGGAAGCAGACCTCCAGGAATCGAAAGATTTCTCGCGTTATCCCTGAAATGCGATTTGCTAGTTCAGACCAAGTGGGTTGCGAGAGACGTACAAAGGACCAGCTTCGAGAACCAGGACAGAAACTAAGAGATACATCAGTGAGGCTAGTCGAGTCTATCGGTATTGAGTACCTGCTGGGTTTTCGGAGAGGCGATTGGCAATGGTTAGACCAGCGGTGCCACCTGCAACGATGATATAGTCGTAGACATTACGCAAATGTTCATCTGCAATGTCCGGGGTTACATGAAGGCTTTCAGCTAACGGAAGAAAGAACACGGCCAGAAAGGCCAGCCAGAAATTCCCAAAAAGCATCTTAGACGACCCGATTGCGAGGAGGTGTCGAATAAGCCAAGACAATGTTTGAGATGCTGTGAAGAGAGTGCTCTTCGGTAAACTCGCCACCTCGTTTAAATCGGAGAGTAAACAAACAAACACAGCTTATGAATGCGAGCATTTCCAACACTCCAATCACTATGGAAGTCTGCCACTGACAGACAACCGCCAGATGGAACTCGCTTAGTCGTATGTGTCTGTAATAACGTGTGATCGTAGCTAGAATACTCCTCCTAAAGTAACTTGCCAGCATAATGAGATATCTCCATTCTTCATTTTTCTTGGACCTCAAGGGACAATTATTAGTGACCTCATCCTCTGGTTTCACAATCTAACAGTTGGGTTTGGTGTTTATACTCAGTTCTCTTCTCATGCGATAACCTCATGTCAGAACGCCAGTTCTTTCAAACTTTTACCTGCAATAGCCTATGAAATGGACCTCGTGATATTCTACTTTATTGTGATCTACATATAGAGGCAATTGGCAAAGTCGAGACCCTGGCGTTTGAACAATGGCAGACTTGCAGGCCTCGACTAACGAGAAAGCTCAGATATTTATCAGTTACGAGACCTCTAATTCCGAGTTTTAGTTACTCCTTTAAGGTAGATGCCCTGACGTTTATGTTTCTCGTAACCATGGCCATTGCGTCTTTTCTCACCTCTCATTAGTTTTATAGGGTAATCACTTATTTGTTGGAGTCACTCCTAGGGAGAGCAAATCAAAATTGCTAAACACCCCCGATGTTGCTTCTTCAAGGTAGAAGTGTATAGAAGCATCCTCTCTTCGAACTGGCTCGGGAGATAACCGAAAGACTGCCCATTCGTAACTCTTTCACATGCCCTCCATCATCTGGAGAAGCGATGACTAAGCCACCTATAAATACAACCTTTCTCAACACCAATCAAGATGAACCAACTGTCACCATGATCAACACGCGATATCAGCCATGATGTTGTCGTTATCAAGACGATGCGCTATTAATGTTACCAAAACTACTTTCATAGCTCCCAAGATACTCAATCGCTCTCTTCATCTTGCTCCCCCGTTCCTCCTTGACGACTATGTTCCGCGATATATGACCCTCAGTTCCCGCGACGCAGCCAAGAAGCGTTCTTTGGCGTATGCTCACCTTCGCAATTGTAATCTATGTCCGAGAGAATGTGGCGTAAACAGGTACGAGAAAACAGGCATGTGCCTCATCGGAGAGAAGGCGAAAGTCAATACAATCGCTCCCCACTTTGGCGAAGGTCAGTCCATCTGCTCCCCATTGCTCTTCGCTCTCGGCTCGCTACATCTGATACTCCCTTGCATTTCAGCTCCTTAGCTCACCGTTAGTCATGTACCATGTTCTTCTATTCAGCCTCTGACTAAACTCATACAGAACCGTGCATTCAGGGGCACAACGGTAGTGGTTCCGTCTTCATGAGCGGGTGTAACATGCGGTGCATCTTTTGCCAGAATTACGATATCGCACATCAACGAAATGGGATGGACCTGACGCCTGAGGAATTAGGTGACTGGTACATCAAGCTGCAGGAGGTTGGCAAGGTGCACAATATCAATATTGTTACGCCTGAGCATGTTGTCCCGCAGGTGGCGTTGAGTATCCTCCATGCCAGGGACCAAGGCCTGACAGTTCCCATCGTTTACAACACATCAAGCTTTGACTCTCTTGCATCCCTGCAGCTGATGGATGGATTGGTCGATATCTACCTTGCTGACTTTAAGGTGTGGAAGCCAAGCACGTCCAAAAGGCTACTAAAGGCGGATGATTACGCCGCAACAGCCAGAGAGAGTATCAAGATGATGCATGCTCAGGTCGGTGACCTGTGCTTCACCGGAGACGGGATAGCCAAGAAGGGTTTGCTGATTCGCCATCTTGTTATGCCAGGTAAAGAGGATGAAGGTGCTGAAATCATGAAGTTTCTAGCAGACGAGGTCTCCACAGATTGCTTCATCAACATTATGGAGCAGTATCATCCAGACGCTCATGTCGGCAAGCCAAAGCGAGCAAAGGCAGATGGCAAAGAAGAAAAGCAGGAGGTCCGATACGCAGAGATCAACCGAGCTGTCAATGCCCAAGAGATCTCCTCAATCAGGAAAGCCGCAGAAGAGGCTAGGTTATGGCGGTTCAATGACCCACCAGGCCACGATGGGTTTGCTATCTGATGAGAAGCAAGTCGCCTCTCATTTGACTGTTGGGTTGCCCTCCGAATGAATCAAACCTTGTTATGAGGCTGTCAATCCAAGCCAACAACGGGGACTAACAGCGCCACCTCCTGGTCCGAACAAGCAATTGGCTTGGCCACTTTATTCACTTACATGGAGCAAGGCAAACCCGATGACCTGCTGTTCTAGACCCCACGACCTCTCTTTCATGTTCCTGACTGCCAACTGAACAACCTCCAAAAGCCATGACTGACCAGTCTTATTGACGGACTACATTGGTGACTTTAAGTGTGGCCACCAGGCACGGATCCATCAGAACAACCAACGCCTCTCACTAGAAGAACCTTCTTCCAAAGAATTGCTAGGTCAAGCGCCGGAACTCGCTGTTTTGCTTTGTTGAGGCGAACACATCGACAAAGCGAACAGACCCCTCAAGTCCAGTATAGCCTTCTTCGCATTGGTCTTTGTCCACAGTGGAGAGGAAAAGGAGGACGAGAGATATGAATATCTAGTAACGATGGATGCTGTTTCTCTCAGAGAAGATATTCCTTCCTTACTACTATCATTGACAAAAACTCAAAATCTATCAAGATGAATGCAACTTTCACAACAATTCATGGCATGGTGCAGCTACCACCTATGGATGCAAGAATTACTCCGCCTCCTGATGAGCTAAACATTGCCATCCCTAAGCTACAAACATGTCATATCCTCCCACCTTCACCTCAATCTCTTCCGGATACACCACACCCAGACACACCGTCAGTTTGCAGTCCTTCTCCACGAAGGAGACGTCGACGCTCTTCCGGCTCAAGGAGTCGCCCTTCACGAGAGTGTGTGAATCAGCAGCCACATACCAACTCTCGTCTCATTTTTTCGCCTAGACCTTTTGAGGATCTCTATATAGAACGAGCATATCTTGCCACCATTCTCCAGCAGCAGGCTGGTCGAGCTGCTGAGCTCATGAGACAGTGTTGCGCTGTGGAGCTGCAGCTCCAGAACCTTGCTAGCGACAATGGTCGGCGAAAGCTAAGAAAACAGTTGGCTCTGCTGAAGTCTAAGGTCAACCAGGCCGCTGAGCAGGAGAAGGCTATTTTCTCCCGTCTTGGTGAGTTGTATGTTGAAATCCAGAGCCGAGAGACACGGGCACAGGCATGGACTGTCGAAAGCCCTAGTGTCGCATCATCTGTCTGCTTCAGTCCTGTTTCCTACGGCTTTCCCACTCCTTTGACACCCCTGAGCGGCACTTCTGAGCACTTTGCTCCCATGGGCTACTTCGGCGATGTGCATCAGGTCTATGAACCATCATACCTTCAACAGGAGCCGACCTCGTACGGTCTGGAAACTGTTGACGAGGCCGCAGAGGATCACTTCAGCCCTGAATCTAGCTGTGATAGCGTTGAGTCCGAGACCACCCCAGCAACTCCAACTGATGTTGAGGCACCCTTCGTTCAGGAGAAGGACTATGGCTCTGAACTTGGAGAGGAGTTGAGTGACGAGCGGTTTGTTGCGCTTAGGGAGAGACGGCTCAGTCTTCCCTGTCTTCACAATGCTTGGCCTGAGGTTTAGGCTTATCGGTGCACTTGAAAGGCGTTGCCGGATCATGTGTTGATTTTTCAAGCATTACTCAAAACCACGGACCGATCATACATGTTGATTCATAATATCAAATCATCATCATGTCACTTACCATCAGTAGCATCGATTTGGCGTTCAATCTTTAGCATGTCTTAGTGTATATATACTGTCTGTTTTTTCAAATCATATCGCTGATGCACCAATTTATCCGTGAAATCTTTAAGCAAACTCTCCAAACTGTCCATCGTCGAATCCAAGATCCTTAGCTGATTGCTTCTGCTGCTTAACAGCATTTGCACTTGGTGGAGGTGGTAATGAGAAGACGCCCGAAGAGCTTGGTCCAGCAGGTGGCGGTGGTAGTGCAAATGACTGAAGATCGCCTCCAGTTCCTGAACCAGATGACGAGCTATCTTGTTGTTTGCGCCTACCGAACTTTGATCCGCCAAAGCTCACGGTAATAGTCTCGCCATCCTTGAGGCTATAATCTCTATGCTCCTCCTTTTCCTTCGTTGCAGCCGGCTTGCTCTGTTCGCCCTCCCAGCCCAGAGCCTTTCTTGCTTCCTGGAGCGCAATGCTCAGATCAAACGCCTCGCTTCTCTCCTCGAAACCAATGCCCAGAACAGCCTTTCGACCCTGTGGATCGCGCACCGTGAGCGCAAAGAATCGGCTGCTATCGAGGACCGGCTCTACAACACCAGGAGCGGTATATGGTGCTGCGGCGAAGAGTTGACCTGATGAAGCATCCTCCAGCACGGCATCAACTTTGAGCTTGTTGGTTGATGACTCGGATTCGTAGGCAGTCTCGACAACGCGCAGGCGGGCAGTGAAGATATGGCGCTGGGGCTCTGCAGTCCATGTACTAGCAGAGTAGCCCTTTGTAGAAGTAAGAGGAGGAATGTTATAGACGTGGACGGCGTTGGCGACGAAAAGAATGCGCTGGATGGCGTCGCTGGGGAGGGCAGCGCCTGTCGCAGGATCGAGGAGCTCCATTCTTAGCTACGTTTATCGGTTATAACTGTTATATGGTTGTTCTGAGGTGAATTGAGCTGTTGGAGTCGAGACGAATATGTTATAAAGAATCAAAAGCTACAGAGGTTTGAAGTTGAAGACGGAGAGAGGGGTGTAAAGATCGGAAGCGGTGGAGGGCAGCGCGGGGCACTTTTGTTCGGGGTTCTGCTGCAGGGTAGTCAACTTAGTGGTGACCTTTCGATATCAACGGGTTACAGCACGTTATTGAACGATGCAACGCAACTGGTTGACCTTGTTTCCAGACGAAAATAGCACAATATTTCGATATGAACTGTATACACTTAATCTGTTTTCATCTAGAGTGCTGCTTGCTACTGCACATCATAGCGACACTTCTCTATCCATGGTGGCACTTACAGGGGACCTCAACTGAAAACGACCTGTAATTAAGCGGTGCCGTCACTTTCGGCCCCGCTCCCCACTTCACCCCGCCAAACCAGCTCCGAGAGATTGATTGACTCACCAACCTTTCGAAAATTCCCCTCCAAAGATTCTAAGATTGGGAATAGTATCATCTCAACTCTAAATACCTAGTCCGCGACGTCTCGCACACCCCCTATAATGGCCACGGTCGATACAGCAGGTCAGCTACTCTATACTGCAAATACCTGGCTCTTTGCTAACTCATCTAAGCTGCTGCTCCGGCTGAGCAACCTCAGACTTCATCAACCTCCGATTTCGAGTCCGTCCCCAAAACCAACCGTTTCTCACTCCTCTAACAACCTGCCAGTATCGTCGAAACATACCGAGGCCTTCTTGCTTCAGACCCATACCTCACCAAACCCGTCGCCGCCATCGAGTCCCTAATCGCTCTTCTTAACGCCCACCCTTCTACCACCGTTTTCGAGATCCTCGATACCGTCAAAGCGCACTCCGATCGTCTCAAAGCCTCCGTTGCGAACCCTGTACCCCTTTCTGCTGGAACAGATCTCTTTCTTCAGTACCTCGTTTCGTCGCTTCGTCAACAGGATGGCAGCTTCGAGGCCGTGAGGCAACATCTCCTCCGAAACGGACGCCTTTTTGCCCAGCGTGCTAATGCCGCGCGAGAAGGCATTGCAGACGCAGGATGGAGGCTGATTCACGAGGGTCAATGTATCCTCACACACGGTGCCTCACGATCAGTTGTTGGAATTCTAGAGCGTGCCGTGCAGAACCTCGGTGCAGCGAAGTTCAAGGTTATCTACGTGCGCGAGGAAACCCGTGTTGAGGAGAGTGATCGCATAGTGCGCGAGCTTCGCTCAAAGGGTATTCCTGTCGCTGAGATCGCAGAGGCTTCGGTGGCTTATGTCATGGGTCTTCTGCGTCAGGTCGATATGGTGATCGTGGGTGCTGAGGCTGTCACATCCAATGGCGGTATCATCTCTCGAATGGGTACTCTCCAGCTTTCTAAGCTGGCTGCTCAAGCTGGTCTCCCATTTTACGTTGCTGCTGAAACACACAAGTTTGCACGCAAGTTCGTTATGGATCAACGGGATATTGGCTTTAAGCAGGAAATCCTGGACTTCAGTGTTGATAACAAGAGTAAGGATACAGTCGATGCTGTCGACTTTACCGTATGTGATCCTCAAATTATAGCTCTCGATCGAGTTGCTAACAAATGAAACAGCCCCCTGACCTCATTTCCAAGCTCATCACAGAGAATGGGATTAAGCTTCCTGGCTATGTGTTTGAGCAGCTTCTCGATATCTATGGTAGTCTCAACGGTTGAGAGAAATGATCAAAGCACTGGCAGCGCCGCGCCCATTCCAATCTTAGAGTCAGAATGGTGTATTTTCATTCATCGAACCTCATTATTTGGAACGATTGCGCTATTATCAAGAGTCATCACGAAATATGAGCTCATGACGGTTTTGGGACAGGATGGAATCTCCTTAAAATGGCTGATTTCACAAGTGTCACCCTGAAACTTGGAACGGATATTCATAATGGCTGATATCCGAAGGTCATGACGTTGCAAGAAACAACATTTGCTATCATCACGGAGTAGCTGGTTTCGATAAGGAGTTCAAAACATAATGGTAAAATAGAGATGGACATGAACAATACATTTGCTTCCTCAGGGAGTGACTATCCTCCTTTAGATCCCTCTCGTAGCAATTTGGGCCCATATAAATAATCAGACTCCAGTAGTTCATAATCTGCCCCAACGGCTCGTTTATAATATGAAACAATTCGTGTATATAAGGACAAATGCTTCAGATGCCTAAACATCCCGGACCAATCTGGCTCCCACCCATGCGTAGGGGTAGTTCCTCTGGTACCAGTTGACGAAACTAGCTCGCCCTGCAATGCGTGGGTGTGTGGCCCACGAACCACCCAAGACGACGTTATGCTTGCCATCAAAGAAGTCAGTCGTGTAGAGGGGATACAGCGACATGGGCTCAAAACCCTCGTGTCGCTCAAGTGGCGAGCTCGTCCATTCCCAGACGCCGCCCATCTCAGACTGACCCGCAAGCTTGTTGCCTCGGGAGGTGACTGGCATAGGATGCCAGTGACGGAAACCAACGTTGGCTTCCGTAAGGTCGAAGAATAACTCGGAGGAGCTATCCTTGACCAAAGCGGAGGAGTTTGATGGCGGGGTCTCTTCAACGCCGTCATTGACAAGGTGGCTATCACTTATTAGTCTTGAAAGAGTAAATATTTTCGATGGACCTACCCATTAACTGCAGGGACCGTCTTTGATAAGGTGCGCTCGGCCTCGGCTCTCTTTTGCTTATTAACATGCGCATAGATGCTCTTAGCTTCCTCGAAAGTTGGAATACGGCCACCCATCCATGCTGCACAACCAGCGAGCTCGTCGTAGGAGGCAAAGACAGGCCAGTCAAGAGCGTACTTGAGAGGAACTAGGCCATATACCGTGCGGACAAACTTATCCTGGATGAACGAATCAGGGACCTGGCTTGCGTGGTGGCCATTTCCATTAGAGTAACCATTTGAATGTCCATTGGTATGATTGCCGTTAGAGGCCCCGTTTGTGTGAGTGCTTGGAACGGACGACCATGAGGCTGGGATATGCTCGATCTTGGAGTTGTATAAGTATTGGGCATACTGTGACTTTGATTAGGACTTGAGGACACCTCGAAGACGAATTGCACATACCTCTTCATTGGTGATCGCTCTGCCCTGAGTTTGGAAGGCATGAACTTTTGTCTGTCGTGCAGGCTTCTCATTATCCCTATTCGATAAAGTCAGTCACGATTTAACTTTAAATAAGCATACCGTGTTAGGCTTACCAGCCCAAATGGCGCGAAGTATCAGTACCATCCTCAGGATCATCCATCCCCAAAGTAATGGTTTGCTCAGGAACATCAAACCATTGGTTAGGAACCCTAGCCTCATATGCTTGCTGAGCCAGTTTTGCAAAATCAGGCTGTACTGTATGCGGGGGTGGAAGTGTTCTGTCACTCTGGAGCATCATATAGAGCAGGGTCTCAATATGCATCAGCTCATGTTCGAAGCCGACCCATATAGCTCGACCAATGTCTCGAGGAATCTTGTCTTGGCCATTCTTGTACAGGTTCTGCAGACGAGATCTGACCCTGTCTTGGTAGGTCATGATCTCTTGAACAGACGGCCATTCATCAGGAATTTCAGAGTGAGTATGGCAATGCTCAGGATTGTCCACATCAGGGTCAATACCTCGCTCAAAGATGGAGTAGTAGGTTGCAGGTTCGGTTGGGGCGTTGCCAGTGGTTTTGGTCAGCTGAATATCGAGGAAGGTTGGGATATGACCAAGGTAGAAAATGCATGCATTTCGTAGTTTGATCGGCTTCTCCTGGAGCTCTTCGTCCGGCATCATATCCTTGGTTACAACGTCCCATGCTTTCCAAAGTGCTTTCCAGTCTTGGACTGTTGGCAGTGGCTCTGCGGCGTAGAGAGAAGGGATCAGGCTGAACGGCATACTGGACTTCTGCAGAAAGTGAAGGCCTAAACAATTGTTAGTCTCGTGTCATCAGATTCCCTGCATTCTCGGTATAACTTCAGCTCAGAGCATGTACCCCCACGTCATATGGATCCGTTTCCGAGTTTGGACTCATGCTGCCGGCTCAGCTGGAAAGAGAAACCCCCCTTTGGTACGATTCGCGGGGTAGTCCGGGGATGCATGACCCAAAGGCCTCTGATCGCGTGTTTTGGGTGGGACATGTATCATAAGAGAATGTGACCTACCATACTCGTCTCCCCGACTCCATCGACCCATTTCGGTCAAGCCTGCAAGTTTCCAGAGCCTGTCCTTCTCTTCCTCGGAATATTTGAGGCTTTGTTCGATCTCTATGCGCTCATGAGGCAAAACTCTTGATCCGAGAGCATCCGTGGGCCGAGTGGGAGAAAGGAAGGCCTGGTGTCGTCCACCTTCAAGGTCATAGACATACTCACCAATGACCCTCCACTCATCCGTGTTGAAGGCCTCTTCACCCAGAATCTCATTGGCGTTTTGGAGACCATTCAGAATGAATCTACATGATGTCAATTTCCAATCACTCAGACAGAGCCAATCAGCTTACTGATGGGTTACCCCCTTGGAGTCTGTATTAGAGAACTGCGGCATTAATATCAAATTTTGTGTTCAGCGCTGAGTTGTGACGTACCGTTGTATGCACGACTATACAGATGTTAGTATTGCTTACAACAAGCGGCATTGTTGACTTACTAAACTTGTGCCGGGTTGCTGCAAGAGTCTACAGCAACAATCATGGAATCAGATGGTGTGAGGACTTCTGCAAACCCTCCCAAGAAATCAGCGGCACCGTCTCGGGTGAAGTTGCCTATAATTCTCATGTTAGCACCTCGAAGCTTGAAACCCTGATATAAACGCACCAATACTGGAGCCGAGGTGGATAATGCACTTTGAGCGGCTCGTGAGAGAAGGATGTTTAAGCCATTCCCTCCCATCATCGTATGTACCGTGAAGACCGTGGCATGAGACATATTTGAAGTCAGGAACCTGCGCCAGAGTACGTTCAAGCTCTTTGAGAGATACGTCAAGAGCAAAATACTGGATGGGCTTTTTAAGCTCCTCGAACGCCTGTAGAAGGAGACAGACCTTGCGGAGGTTTCTTTCTCACAATTAGTGAATGATGTCTCAAATCATGGGGAGATTAACCAACCCGCTTCCCAGCTCAATCACCATCGAATCCTGGGGGATCTGACTGGCAATCTCCGCAGAGGACTTCTTCAGGACCTCAATTTCATAATTTGTCAAGTAATACTCATCCAGATACGTGATCTGGAGTAGTATGAGCAACAGCAACGGGGATCTCGCAACAGAATCAACATACGTCCTCGAATATCTGTAGCCCCCTCTCGTTATATAGAAGAAGGGTTGGAAGCTTCCTTGGGCCCTCGTCAGGGTTAAACATAGAAGCAATTTGGTCTTTCAGGTTGATTTCGACATGTTCACCACGAATATCAATAATACTGGGCAAAGCCGACGATGGCTTGGCGGCTGTCGGCTTTACCCGTTGGGGAGTAGCTGAAGACGCTGTGATGGAAGGCATTGCAAAGCAAACGCAGATTTAACAAACAGAGTATGGCTTCAAGTCGGGATTTGATACTTGATAGATGCGGATGGACGGGGAATATATGGTTTATAGGCTGCAGCAAGAATCGTCTCAAAGGGCGTGGCTCTTGTTAATAGTCCTCCCACCATCTCAATAGCTCCAATGTACCTGAACACTTTGGCCTCCTCAGTGGAGAATAGCTCGGACGACTCCTCATGGCTTGATTGAACCAGCCGGGCAGGATATCCAAACAACGCGGGGGATGGTACACTATTCTTAGTTCAGCGAATCGTCATAACATCGAACAGTCTAACGATGAGACTCTGCGCCAGGAACCACGGTCCACTTGAATCGCAAGGGGAAGCCAGCTGTGCCTCAAAGAAAGCAAATGGCCCTCCTCACACAAGCTTCGGCGCGGCGGATGTATGCTACATACGTACTCACGACCTGCTGCCTTCTTCATGTGAACGATTCTGAAATAAGTTTGTCATGACATGCATTCTTAAACTGGAAGACATCAGCACTTGTGGAGCGAGAGTGGGAGAGAGACGAAAAACTGGCAAATCAATAACGAGAGTCAAGCCCCACGCCCCACGCGCGTGGGAGGGTGATGTCGATGTGGGAGCTCACAAGGCCAGGTCTGAGCTTTGATGGATCGAGAGGCGATCGTTCTGTAGAAGAAAACGTTGGCACCGGATCTTCTAGTCGATATCGGGGCTTTAAATATCTATCAATGTTGCTCATCGTCTTGCATGGTGTTTCGGAACTTCAGCCTTATGTTGCGTGATCTGAGAGCTTACCCCAGATGTTTTGAAGCAATGGAGATCTTTACCTTAGGCTGTCTCTGCTCAGCCAAGGTACCATGACCTGCCCAAATCGATTCCTTGCAGAGCCTCGGTACGGGTTTGCTTTGAGCCGCAAGGTACAAGTACTGTACATATGTAAGCCCTGTTTCGTAAACCGGTTTGTACGGGTCATCGACTTGTCTGTTGTCGATTGTACATGAGACGGGATTCGCTCATATCTCAATAAGATGGGACTTATTGAAGCTGGTCGTGAGGAACCCCGCGAAGCTGCCGCAGATGCCAGCTCTAAGCCCCTCTTGGTAGCTGGGCTGTCCACTAAGACATCTGGAATTGGAAGCAATGGACAAGGGGTGAGAACTAGGCCCAGTGACTTGCATTTACCGGTCTTGGCGATCCATTAGTGACTTGATCCGGACGTCATATTATAAGTAAGCGGGCTCGTCAAAGCTTTGCTGTCGTGTAACCTCGAAGCATCGGAAATGATGAGTGATCAGTATTGCCGAATTGAAAGCCGGACGACCGCCTTATTTCTCAGCGGTAACGTCAGTTGTTCTACCGAGTCTATGCGATTCGGGCCGGTACGTCAGTGTTTGTTTGTGGAAATATTCCATATCACATCCAAGCATCCAATGTCTATGGTGTTGAGAGTGGAGAGAAGAAGAAAAAATGTGTTCCATTGATTAATAAGAACCGGCTGATTGTTCTTGGAAGGTCTACCTACCTAGGTAGCCAGGGAAGGCACATGTTGGTAGACTTGCTCTCACCTGATGTCAAGATGCCTCCTGCCTCAGTCTCAACACTCCAGTATCTTGCAATCAAGGTTCACTGCAAAAACTCGCTTGCTTCATCTTACATGGCTACAAATACACCCGATGCGCAGGAGTATACGAAGTGCCAAAAGCATCAATGCTACTACCGCCAGTCTAACTAAAATGCAACCAAATATCCATCCTCTAACCTCTATTTCGGCCGTCAATTCAATATACATGTATTCGCCGTATCGAAATACCCCAAACAGAACTCCAACCGAGCATCTATTCTAGGAAGCCAACCCTCAACGACCCTGCGCCAGAGAAGGCTTCCAAATCATTTAATACCCAACTCATTCGTTGCGACTCCAAGCTCTCAATATTGTCCACTAAGAGCTTCGGTGTATCCATCTCCGATGGTCCTTCGTCAGTCCCAGGCAGCGAGAGTTGGCTGTTTAATGTCGAAGAGGTAGTTTTGGGGGTTTCTTCCAGCATGGGCCTGGGCGAGTTGCTCATTTTGGGAGACGCTGATATAGGACTTATGCTTTCGTGATGCGTATCGTATGCTCCTTGCCGGTGTCTATCTTGCGTTCCTTTCTCGCTTGGTTCGCTACCATGGCCAGCTTCACCAAGTCGAAGGCTTAATGATCCATGCGTCGAGTTCTTTGCTTGTGTAAAAAACTGGCCTACCGCCTCAAGATTATCCAGGTATCTTCGAGCACTGGGCAGGTAAGTTGCAGCTCTTCGCAACGCCTGACAAGCTGTCCCAGCCTGTCCCTGTTCGAGTATACTCAAGTTCTCTCCCGTGTAGGGGCTCATACTCTGTCCACTCCTCAGTTTCTGGTGTATGTCCATCTGTGGGAAATGGTGAGCATAGACAGACATGAACCCAGCCAGCCAGATAGAGAACATCGACAATGAGGACAAAGGCAGCTTCTCCTTGCAAAGACTAATTAAGTCGATGATGTTACGGGATGCTTGGAAAACATCTTCTGCGCTCTCTTCCCAGAATCGATCTGGTGCAAAGTTGAGTACAGTTTGGTTGCCTATGGGAGGTCCCTGAGGCCTGCGGCATTGCAGGGGGAGAAACCGAAGATATTCCCGGTTGAGAACAATATGACAAACTGAGGCCAGCATGTGTAGCGACACATAGGTATTGGTAGCCTGGTGGTTGTCATGTCGGTAGTAATTTTGTCGAGACAATGTGAAAGTGCCAGGGAGATCTTTGTTGAACGTATCCATCTTCTCTCGTAACTTGTAGAAGGTCGACCTAGTGCCCCATGGGGGATGGGTTTCTTGTAACCGGCCACCCATCGAACTATATCTTGAAATCTCGCCCCATATCTCGACCAACTTGATTAACCGGCTCAAGGTACTTTCATCGTTGATCTGAGGCTGGCTCGATCCTTCGTGTGGTTGTAATAGTCCAGTGTAGACTTCAAGAGACAGGTCAAAAGCCATCTCAGAACATGGCAACTGGATCAACATGCTTTCGACTGCAATGCTTAGAGATCGCTCGTTTCCAAAGCTCATCATGCGATCAACAATGAAGCAACTGTACATCGTTCGTCGCCGTGTCTCTCTTATGATAGCAATCTCTGGCAACCTCTTCTCGAATCGTCTTGTGCCCAATGCCTGGTTTTCCAGTATAGCCATCCGTCGGTCATCTTGCTCTAGCCTCATCAACTTGGCCATACGAATAGCTATCCCCAGATACATCCAAGCACTCGAGGCATTCTCTTGACTCCATTCGAATAGCCCAAGCATCAGGAAAGTTTGTATCCTCTCGACCGTGAGAGTATCCATTACTATTCTGAGCGGGCCCAGGGCTGTTGTGAGCGCTGTAGCAAAGAAGTCCGAGGCATGTGATGGCCCTGGCTTGCTTTGGGATGGTGCTGATCTAGCATTTTTGCCATGATGGCTGGGTAAATGTGTTATATATCGGACGAGATCAGGATGGAAACGTGCTGTGAGCATCAAGATGCCAAGCAGGACCAAATTCAGCTCAGATGCACACTCTTTTGCTTGGCCCAACCCACTGCTCATTTTTTCCTTGAGAGAGGGCAAGTGAAGGAAAGGTAGTTCTGTCGCATAGTGTTGTTTGTATATGTTGAGCAACTGGTCCCATAGTTCCGTCGTCAAAAACGGATATGCGAGAACTTCGGCTGCGTATACTACTGATCTTTCGCTGCTTAACCGAGGTGCATCATGTGCTTTTCTTGTCCGTTTCTTCTCCTGCTGTGGTTCTTTCTCCGGTTTCGTCGCCGTACTTGTATCGCTTCGTTTTGGTGGTGGAGGAACAGCCTCCGGATATTGACACTGATGTCCACCTTTAACACAAGTGTCGCACGGGCTACTGCCTCCATCATTGTCACACTTGATCTTCGATCTTCGACATCTCAGACAAGCAATGCTAGATCGAATCGGCTGTTTTATTCGTGATCCTCTCCTTCCAGCTTTCTCATCAGAATTAGCTGGTGTCAGTCTACCCGCCGAGCTGTCATCACCGGCGTCAGGCCTAGGCAGTTCATCTTGTTGAGCATGCCAAATTGACGCCGGTGGTGTGCCCTCTTGGGCGGAGGATAATTCTTCGAGCTTTCGTTTCGAAGTTGTGTAAGCCTTTGGAGATGCGTTAGATTCTCTGTCACCCTCAGGGTCTATAGGCGAGAGTATAGATTGAATGCGAAGTTGGGAAGCTATTTTGCCGACGTCGGTGCTCTTACAGAGCTGTCTTTGTGGTGTAGAGTTAGATCCGGGGTTTGAGAATCTCTTTTAGAAATCAAATATGGGCGTTCATCCAAGGTCCTAAGACAGTATAATATATTAAGAAGGTATCAGTCCATCCAGAGTTTCTGTCAGTATAACATAACAAGAACGGGCATTCAACATTATGAAGGGCTACAATAGTACTTATGTAAAGCCAAGTCCAAGGAACTACTGACCTAACAAGGATCACAAGCTACATATAGAAAAGGAAGACAAAATGAGACCCCGGGCCGACTTTCATATTGTCAAGCCGACTTATGAGATCCCATCATCGGTCCACGCACCCGATTAACTAGTCTTGGCATGGTAGCATCTGTGCGGGAAATGCATAAACCTGGGCAAAATGACAGGTGAGCAGCTACTAGACAAGGTATCGTGGATCCATTCGGCTCTCACTGTTGCTAGAGGTGTAGTCTGAGGGCGCCGAAACAGGACTTTTTTCGGAAATATGTCCTTCAAAAGGCGCCGGTTATGCTAGGAAAGCAAGGAAAACTAAATTAGTGTGTCAGTTCCGAGAGATTTGTTGCCGTAAATCCGACTTTGACATTTCTTGAGCAGAGCCTCAAGGCTCGCAGAACTTTAAACTTGTAAGTGATAAGAGACATATCGACTTCTTCAATCACTTTGACTCGCCAGTCTACAAGCAGATTTGAATTCCTGCATGTCTCTCATCAATAACTTGCGTGTTCTTGCGCAACTCTTCCGACATATGTCGTTGAAGCTGCCCAGGAACAAGATTTATCCAATGAAAGACAACTCTTTTTTACCAAGTCCTCGCCGGGGTCCTTGGAGGTTTAGGTACGCCGATGTGGGAACTATATGGGGTTGAAGATATGGAGAATATATTGCTACGTAATGATGGGGTAAAACAACATGATAAAGAGACCAAAGTGCCTTGTGGGTTTGTTTGAACGTCGCCGCCGGCCATTTTCTTTAGCTTGAGTGGGGGTTTCGACATTGAATTGAAGTTGATGAGCCTCAATTCTCTGTTGATAATTCTCAGATGCCGCTACAATACTTTATAGATCGATCCGAATTTAAGATCAACTATCGACTCATATAGTTATATATCTACCATTTTAGCCCTGGTAATTTATCGAAACAGGAAATACAATACAGAGTGAGTACGCAGAAGGGCAGATATAAGTACCTATGGATGAATACTGGATCGGATTAGGTAGCCTCCGTAGCTTCGGCCGAGTCATAGCGTGATGTCCATAACTGGCAATTGAAATGAGAGCAGCAATTTATTACCAATTTATATCCAAATACCAGACGCTCCAGACTTTGAATTTGGTTTTGAGTATCCATAAGGAACCCCATCATCAAAAGACATCAAAGGCTAAAGAGTCAGGAATATGTCTATGGGGTTATGGGGACGGGAGACAAATTCGTGCTGTGGGCACGGAGGCGGAAACGAGACGTTGAAGAAGGTCAAAAGAGAACAGCTTTGATCCTAAGAGACAAACACTCGGTTCATCATAATGCCGAAATGGGCCTCGATATTTGCATGGGCCTTTTTTTTTTTTTTTTTTTTTTTAATGTTAAACGGCAGAAGCTGCCTCCCAAAAAGCTCCTGAATGTCACTGCCAATTGCCGACTGCCATCAAGATCCATGCCCGTTACGACGCCAAGATGGACTAACCTCCAAGGGAGTCTGGACCCTCTGAAGCAAAGCCAGGGACTTTAAGCTTAAGTGCTTCGCCCATGTGCACACGCAATCAACCTCTAAATCCTCTTTGATCCCATCATGAGACGAGATTTTTACCCCAACAAAGAAATAATCTCTTTCAGGTGTCTATCCCTAGATTCGAAATTGACTCAGAATGGCCAGACCTAGAACAATGTCACTCCCAGTGAGTGGCGATACCAGGATCATTTGCTCCCCCAACCAATGAATGACGTCGATCGCCTCAAGAGGCCTCACAGCTCGTCAGTAGAGCTTCTCACCGCACGAATTTAAGCGCCGACAGACGCCCACCCTCTTTGACGAGAATTCGCTAGATCACACTGCTCTTCAAATCAAGCACCTGCAACAGCCGCCCAAGTTATAGCTTTGTCGCATTGCATTGACGCGCATCGCGCTTGTCTTGATTGTGTTTCTTGCTGGTGGATCGACTGATGCTGTTGCTGTCATAAGCTGCTAAACATAAACCTGAACCTGACCCCTCCATCACGTCTTGCGACTTTCCAAGTTCCAGGATTTCAACAACTCTCCCCTTTTCTCGTCTTCTACTCGTTGTCCTAAACTTGTTCTTCTTTTGTATTCCATAATACCAAGACTGTATCTTTTCCATTCATTCCAAGACCAGATAATCACAAACATGTCTTCTGGGCATAATGTAAGTCCAAAAATACACCTCAGGCGCATCATGGCATGCACGTTCATTCTTTGCCGCCACTTATGATACTAACAACCTTTTGCACAGGATCCGAAGCTCCTCTACGCTGTAGAGGGCATCAACGCCTACCACATTAGCAATGGCAAAGAGCAATCCCTCACTCCTTCAGGACCTCAGACCCTGTCCCTCCTCATGGTCCCGACCTCATCTGGCTTTGTTGAACCTTCAGGCACTGGCTCTGATGGAGAGGAAGACTTCTACCTGCACCTTCACCTGCCTCCTGAGCTTGACCTCCCTCTTCCCGCTACGACCCAAATCTACCACCAACCACCTACGAGCTATTTGATTCCTCGCTGGGATCTCGGCCCCGACAGCGGCGCTTTCACCCGGATCGAATTCCCTCCCACCAACTTTAGACCGGGTGTTCAGGAAGATGTCGATACTTTCGAAACAATCCTAGCTCAGTGCACTGCATTCCTCGAACGAGCAACTCCTCCTCAGCCACCAAGACCCTCCGAGAAAGCCCAAGCTAAGGCGCGCGAAGCAGCTGGCGAGCAACTCCCCGCTTACAACCCGGCTGACTATAACCCTGGAGAAGGATATGTTCAGGGCAGCCATAGCTCAAATACTGGAGGCAGAATTGTTCTTATCGATGAGGAAGATGGTAGTGTCCTTGGAGAGTTGACCGATAGCTATCAAGTGGTGGAAGACAGCAAGATCAAACCCGGTTCCAAAGGTATGTACCACAAACTTCGTTGCGATGTGCTTGGCGTTGCTAACATTTGCGCAGAACCTGTCGAGATTGCTCTTCCTACCGATGGCGGCCAGAACATTTCTGTGCAGCCTGTGTCGCAGCCATGGGCTGAGATGGACATGCACCCTGCCTATAAAAAGTCAACCATCGTGAGTAGCGCAAGCAAGGCATCTCGCCTTATTGTTACAACTTCCGATGTTGTCTCTAGAACACTTCAGAGCCAGGCCGATAACTTCACAAAGAACACAAAGCCTGTCGCCAAGCCTGTGACATTCGCCCCTACGACACATGCGCACATTCGCCGGATCAACAACTTCTCTTCTAAAGCCGCTACCTTCTCGGCGACCACTGTCGGCACCATCGGTAACTTGGCGCAGAACCTAGGTGCAAATGTCACTCGTCGCAAAGATGGTAGAGCCAGAGGTTATGACAAGGACGGTAATGCGATCGATACATATAAGCCAGGTGTTCTGAACAAGAGCTTGATGGCCTTCAACACTGTTGTTGACGGCATTGAGCAAGCCGGTCGCAATCTACTCACTGGCACGTCATCCAGCATGACGACTGTTGTCGGTCACCGCTGGGGTGAGGAGGCTGGTGAGGTGTCGCGCAATCTCGGTGGCGGTGTTAAAAACGTGGGACTTGTCTACATTGATGTGACAGGCGTATCTCGACGTGCCATTCTCAAGAGCGTTGCTAAGGGCATGGTGGTTGGCAAGGTCAAGGGCGGCGGGGAGATTATCGTGGGAGGTACTGATAATAACCCTAGCTTCGAGACAAGAGAGGGCAATGGTCAGGGTTCACAAAGCACATATGGTGATAATGCGAGCGTCGCCAGTGGATATGATCCCAACGGCAAGAAGCCTGCCAAGGGACATTACTGAGGGGTGAAGATATAGGAATAGCGAAGACTTATGACTTGATTTTGGTGTGGTTTATTTGAACTTTCTGTTGGGCGGTAATGCGGATCGATCATTTATGAATGTCTAAAAACCGTACGATTTGAGGATAAACCTTTCAATTGAGCTGTGTTAAGTACCCAATGGTACATGAGGTTTGAATGCTGGAGTAAGTGAGTTGGCAGCACAGTATGAATTCTCAAGTTCACGGTAGATCGCGGGGCAGCTACGGCCATCGCGTCGCGCCCAGTACCTAGAGCTTCACCTCGAACTCGATAAAATATTGATTTCTTCCCATCAATGTCGCGCTATGACAAAGACTAAAGCGTCCGATATTTACCAAAAACGAGGCGCCTTTCCGTCTGAGCTTGGCTTTGGCTGAACACCTTCATTGGTTGTCAAGGCTCAAATTTGGATCTTTTCATAGTTCTTCAAGATCAACACCATCAGCATCATACACCAAGCAAACGACCACTTGGTTCATGTGCCGATTTGAGCTTCTTGGTGTTATTATAATTATCATACGTGATATCGGGGATTCTATGAGATCAAGAAAGGCTCAAGATCGGTACGTTTCTTACCATTATTGTGCTATGAAGTATCACCGCTAATTATACCAAGCTCCGAACCAGAACCACAGGCATGCTCCACGAAATCCTACTCTCCCTCTCGGGACATCCCTCCCCCCTCCTACGAACCGATGCAACTCAACCTCACGCCCTCTCCGGCGTATCACCAGCCGAGCGCCAACTCCTCGCCTCAGCCGCCCACCTCAGCGACGTCCACATCAAACTCATCAGCTACACGGCCCAAGTAGCGAACTCGCACCCATCGACCATCTGTCGAGCCGTCGCAACAGCCATAGACTCCATACACCTAGCAGCCTTCCAGCGCAAAGTTCTCGATGTCGAGGCGAGCATATTACAAGATGACCCAGAGCTCGTGGGAGCTTATAATATTGTGCCGCTGACGGCGGTGATAGGCGAGTTTAAGGACTGGACTAGGAGGATGGAGTGGCTTTGGGAGATGGTCCAATTTATGCTGGCGAAGAATAAGAAGGGGGAGACATGCCATGGGGCTCAGCTCATGGATCGTCTGCGACTTGAGCTGCAGAGTGGATATAGGGATGTGCAAGAAACGGCTATGAGTCTTGTTACTGTGGCAGAAACAGCTTGGCTGAAGCAAGTTTCTGCCTGGATATTATACGGAAGACTTCCGAGCTTTGGAGGCGATGATTTCTTCGTCCAGAAGGTCGAAGAATCCGAAGAGGTAAGTTTTGTTTGACGCACTTGCGAAACATTGCTAATGGGAGCAGGAGTACATATCACGACCCAGTCTATTACCAGCATTCGTGACACCAGCTACAGCTTCATCCATGCTCTTCATCGGAAAGTCTCTAAATCACATTCGAGTCAAGAGCAGTGTCGACTCAGGCCTTCGTGGTCTCGACCACTTGTCATCGAAACTCCAAGAATTGTCCAGCCTTTCCTTTCCACTAAAAAGCACAAGCTTCTCAAGAGCCATCATTGCCGTCCGGATATCTCTATCTGAAAACACGCTTCAGAAACTTCTTCCGCTAGCCAAGGTAACGGAAATGCTACAATTACTGCGAGACTTTTTCCTCCTCGGCCGTGGTGAGTTTGCAATGCAGTTAACGCACGAGGCGGATGAAAAAATACGCAGTCGGTGGAGGCGAGCAGATAACTTGGCTTACGAAAAGGGGGACGGTCTAAAGAATGTGACGGTCAAGGAGGGTGAAGTCGCAGCAGTTCTTGCCAGGACGTGGGCTGTTCTAGCATCGATGCAGGGCCAGCATGCTGAAGAAGATGAACAACTTGAGCTTGCTCGAGATCTTTTACGACTAAATCTCACCAAGAGTAAGGCGACTACGAATTTTGGTTCTGGTTCAGGTCTCAGCCGTGATGCTGCAAGCCTCTTATCCGAATCGCCTTTTCGAAACCTCCTATTCTCTGTCCCGTCTTTGCTGTCCATCCAGATTCCTCCGCCACTGGATATGGTACTGTCACATTCAGACATACAAATATACTCGTGTATCAACGCCTACCTACTATCAATGCGCAGAGCGCACATTCGACTTACCGATTTGTGGAAGATCACCTCCTTGAGACGTCAATATCCAACCGCGAAAGGTGACCGAGAGCATATCATCCTTCTTCGAAAGCGATGGACAGCTCGATCGTCTTCAATGCGCAGCTCTTGGACAACTGCTAGTGCTGCCATATTCTTCCTAGCAGAAACAGAAGCATATCTCCAGACTGAAATTGTTGCTGGACTATGGGAGGGCTTCCATGAGTGGCTGACAGCCAATGACCCCAAGCATGGACAGTCTAGAGCGCCAACACCAACCAAATTACATGATGAATCAGGGTTGGCTTATGCAGATGAGGAAGAGGATGATGATATATGGCTAGGTAATGAAAACGACAAGCCTGCAGCTCAAGATGATACTCCCAAAGCACGAGATTCAACTCCTCCCCAAGATCCTCAGACTCTCTCTACGGCTCATCGCCTATACCTTCGCACTCTCATTCACCGTCTTCTCCTCACTCAGCCAACTTTTACACAGCCTCTATATAACCTCCTCATCCACATCGATCACCTTGTCGCCCATCTGCATCGTCTACACGCTATCTACACCTCTATAGACCTTGAAACAGATGCCGGCGTAGTCGATGCCTTTGTCGACCTGGAGT